TTTTAAACCATTTAAGTGGTTTTAACTAAAAGTGTTCTTCTAGCGTAAACTACAGAAACACGTTTTGCTTAACTAAAGACTTTTCGGTTTAAAACGCGAAATATATTTCTTTGCAAAAATTCGATCAAACAATTATAAGTAAGTAAGCTTAAGTATGGCTTTAAAACCGTTTTCTTAATGTCACACAGATTATTATTGTAAAAGTCATACATTTTACGAGATATTGGCGGTCTGTGAACCGGAATTGTATCTTTTAATTGAAGGGTTCTTTGATTGGTGCTGTTTGGCGAATGTAATTGCGAGTGAAGTGAAAACATTTTTATTTATAACTTTCATTTCGGTGCTCCAAATATTGACATTTCACGTACGAACCGCCGATGTTAAAGATTACATTCTTGATGCACAACGATATACAGGGTGTCCCACGGTCGTATATACTATAAATAACGAATCTGGCTTTATTTATATACATATTTTAGGCCATAAAACACGGATTATTGCACTACGTTTGACAATAAAACCATTGTATCTCGATATGAATAGTTCAAACACTTTTTTAATATGAAAATCGACTAGTAAGAAATATATGATTTTACTTAATTATATGAATTAAAACTTGCTTACTTAGTAAGTCAACGATTACTTACAGCTAAGCGGCAAGCTAATCAAAATAAATCGTTATCGATCCGCAATGCGCATATTATATCAAAAAGGAATCTCTATCATACCTAATCCTGAATATCTTAAGTAATATTATAAACTTTAAGAGTTTGTTTAAATGCTTTTATGTCAGATACTACGGCTGCAAATAATAGAATCGAAAAAACATGTTTAAAAAACGGGGAAATTTAATTTTACTCTTTTACTTTACTTTGTACGATTAGATCAAATAATATATTTCGATTTTTAAATCGTTATAAGTAAATACATAAATTATATAATCGAATTATATTACTTATTTTTTTGAGGATATCCATCGCGTGCGCTGCGAAAAGGGTTTAGTTAACCAGAAAATACGTCTCAAACAATGATTCTAGTGGTTGATAGAATGATTGTGATATATGTCTCGTGAGTAAAATAAAGCTGTTACATCGGTGCGAAGGTTCTTTGCAAAAAATAATATGATGCCCAAAATAACGATCCACGCGGACGTATTCGCGGGCATAGCTAGTCTTAAATGTACAAAGATACAAAAACACGTATACACGTTAGGTCACCTACGTACTCTATCGACGCACTGACATTAGATACGGTGGAATCAAGAACCAATCTTCACTCGTAATGGCTTTTGCGAAACACGTCTCATCATTGCTATATACGCCGAATATATTTACATAGCGCAGTGAGTGATGTGAAAGTTTTTAATAATAATATGCTCTAGGAGCTAATTACTGGTGCTATTAGCTCCTAGAGCTATTAGCTTCTAGAGATTTTTATTATTATTCTAATAATTTCGTTTATATTCATTACCACAATCTACACTAATATTATGAAGCTAAAAAGTTTGTTTGTTTAAACGCTAATCTCAGGAACTTCTAGATCGAATTGAAATATTCCTGTGTTGGAAAGATTATTTATCAAAGAAGGCTTCCGGCTATATGACATCAGGTGCAATCAATTGGAACGAAGGAACAGTGGAAAATGTTGAAAGAAAGGCAAATCGTCGGGCCTAAGTGAAAAATCATTTTCAAATAAGTTAACTAAATATAGTCTATAATAGTTTATCGCGTTTTAAACCGTTAAAGTGTTTTATTTAAAAAGGAAAATTATTCATCTTCGCCCGATTACGTTGCATTAAAAATGTATCAAAGAATAATTCGCCATTAAATAATCTAAAAACGAGTCCCCGACAGCATACGTCTATCTATTAGGATTAACTCACAAAAACCCTTTTTATCGTGGTTAAATTTGGTTGGCAAGAACGTGTGCCAGGTTAGCTAGTAAATAATATAAAGCGTAAATGCGATCGATGCGATGATTTTTAAATTACTATAATATAGATAAAATCGAAAACTGAAACTTGAACAACGTAAAGAAAATTCGATCATTTTGTTTATTTCGATTCTTGTTAGTTTACTCTGCCCGAGAGTATGTTAGTAGGTCGCACAACGATGTTGATTAAAAACCAAAAGTAGGTAGCGATAAGTGATCTACAAAGCTTTGGTAGATCGCCAACGAGATATTTTGTTTCATTGTGTTCGAGTGACAGCACGAAACACTATAGCCGTGGGTTCGAGTCTTCAAACCGCTGGACAGAATTCCAAATTTAAATAAAACACTTTAACGGTTTAAAACGCGATATATTAGTTAAACTTATTTAAAAATGATTTTTAACTTCGGCCCGACGTTTCGGATGCTTTGCAGCAGCCGTGGTCACGGGGAATTCAAAATTCGAATCTTCGGTGCGTCCGCACTCAACAAGTGGGGGATCACTTAAGTGGAAAATCAATCTCACTCGCTTTTTTAACGTTAAATAAGAGAACTGCAAAAACTTTTTAAGGTCATCGCAGAATACTTAGTGATTAATAGACCAATAAATAGGTATGCCATGTGCAAAAACACGAACAGGATTCGTAAAATCCGCATAACAATGTCGGGGGATACGAATTCGAAGGCATAAAAACGTTACACTCAACTGATATCCGGTATGATATAGTCAACGCGACAATTGCAGGGCACCAAAGTTTGAAAAGGAAAATGTATTATATCTATACTCATTTTATAAAGCTGAAGAGTTTGTTTGTTTGAACGCGCCGATCTCAGGAACTACTTCAAATAGAAAACTACTTTTGTGCCTTGGTTTGGACCAGTAATACATTTTGATGTCCACAATAACTATAACATGCGGACAAACTTACACATCTACTTAGTTTATTATGTTATATGTACCTACATTTTTTAAATGTACAATTAAATTGTAAAAGAAGTCCAACGCTGAAAAAGTCCCAAATCATTTTTAATTCTAAAGTGAAAACTGCTACATCAGCGCCATCTTTTTCCTTGCAACATAACAAACATTACAAAAGTAAACAAATACATTTCGCGTTTTAAACCGATAAATGTGTATTAATCGCGTCAACAACATGAAAAATCCATTAAATTTAAATGTTTTTAGCAGCATTTTTCAGGTGTGTAAGTAATTAATAAAACAATGTATTTCAAATTTCGTTAAATTTATCACATTTAATATAAAGCATTATTTTATTAAATAGACCCGAATTACATAATTTATATTTGTACGAAACGAGTAGATACACAACCTTTTTGAGAATTTTGCCTCTATGTTTGTTATATGATGACGTTTCAAATGTCAAATTCACTAAATTTTCCACATTACATATTCTAACCATACCTACAGTCCAAGATTGCTAATTCAGTGTTGACGTGTTTGGACAGTCGCAACTAACATGATTAATGGATCCTATTCACCATCTTCAAATGAGTCACAAAGCCAAGAATCACATAAGACTTGAATATAGATGGAAATACAGGTTCAATTCGTTGAAAAGTTTTCGATTCTACATGAGATGTGTGATTCGTCAATGGTCTTTCATCTTTCCCGCTAACTTATGGTTGCAGATCGTGCGAGCTAAGATAAAGAAGCCACCAAAGGCTGTACGCATGTGTATTTTACATGCGTAAAAATCGAAGGTTTTAGATAATTAATCGTTTAAATAAAACACTTTAACGGTTTCAAACGCGATATTTTTCTTAAACTCGTTTAAAAATAATTTTTAGTCTCCCCGTGACCACGGCTACTGCAAAGCATCCGAGACGTCGGGCCGAAGTTAAAAATTATTTTCAAATAAGTTTAACGAACATATCGCGTTTTAAACCGTTAAAGTGTTTTATTTAAATTTATTCAGAATCAAGTTTTATCATTATACGTACTTATGATTCTTAGCACCTAATTGCCTTCCCGGAATCTATCCACTGACATTTGAAATTATTAAATAGGTAATAAATTTAATTGCAACTTGGACTGCTTGGACCCGAGTAGAAAAGTGTTGTTTTTAGACATTCTTAGGCAAGAATATTCTAGAAAAAAATAATTATTGAAATCTGTTTAGTTGTTTTCGAGAAATGTGCTTAGCAACCCCTTCAACGATCGATTTTCATCTTACATATTATACCAAAGAGTTAACATACCGCTTAAAATAAATAAGAAATGCTCTAGTTTTTATCGAGATTATAATCGCGATCAATACCTGGAAACACGCATGAACCGAAGGTATTTCCGTATCGGTTGACGTCCGGCAAACCTTCGACATTTCCGAGCCAAACAACTTAAGTCGTGGGCCAGCGCGGGGTGAGAGGCGAGCGGAGTCTGAGCTACAGCGGCGCATGAGCATATTGTAAAGCGTTTTCTCTTACAAGTCATTTTAGTATTGAAATATACGTGAAATAATAATGGAATAAAATTAGGTTATCGTAACAACTCGCCAGTGGCCATCTTTAAACTCGCGGCCTGCCCAATAAGAATTTGAAACATTTGTTTTTACGCTGCGCGCAGCCGTTCGTCTCGCTCGTTACAATATTGAAAGCTTGCTGTAAGAAAGGAACGGATATAGAAACACGCTTCTATCGACGAATAGTCATTGTTCTTGATAGTAATGGAACAAAATAAAGACAGAGCAGCGGTATTCGTGACTAAGAGACAAAACTAGCGAGATTGAGGTGTGCGAGTGAGACGGAGCATAAGGTTTTTGGGTCGACGTCCGGACGGAGGAACTTAAAATTGAATTAAAGCTAAGAATTTATTTACAACATATCAAATACCAGGATACATGAGACGTATAGTGTATTGGAGAAATCGGTAGTTTTTGCAGGCAATATTAATTGAGTTTTAATAATGACTCGAATAGATATATGATATTCAAGTATGTCGCGTTTTAAGAAATAATTTTGCCTTAATAATGTTTTAAATTGGTTTAAAATAAGTTATCTATTTTGCAACTCTATCGTTTTAGTTATCTTTTAGAAATCGTAAACAAATATGCATGCGCGGTGACGTAACAATTAATGCATCACTATCGCTTCATTCCAGTCCACAACGTCACGGGACGTCATATCTCTATCTCTCTCCCACAGCATGTGGACGTCCCGCTCATACCGTTACGCCGGCGTCCTTGGCTGAGTTCTTTCTTGCGCGGGCGCTGCAGGTCGCTCTTAACCCGTTCCGCGCTGTTACCACTAGCTGTGCACGTGTGGTTCATTCTTTACATGTGTGTGTTTTTCTACTTGTGTGCGACACACCCGCGCTCTTGTGTGTCTGTGTGCAAGCATTGAATTAGTGTTAACGGATATTACGGAATTTTGTCAGATAAATACTTCAAAGTGAACTAAGAAACGCGGCTCGAATAACTTTAATCTCCATTTTGTATATAAGGTTGTACTCCTGTTTTCATTACTAAAGTCGCTACATTATTAAAAAGTTTTATGATCATAACTACTTCCTTGTTCCATGCCGAGCTGAATCTTAAAACACATTACGTCATTTCACGGAAAAATAACGAAATAAATCTAGTTTCACACAGTCAAAAAAGACAGAAATAACTCGTAATTTGGTTTTTGATTATTCGATTTGCTTAAAATACGGAAGAATGTTATTTTTTCGATTTTTTAAGTAAAAAGATACAGAGTGAAAATCAATTATATATTGTAATTATACAATGATTAGATCCGTACTATTTGACCTCGCAAATGTCAATTTGAAAAGCTCACTTTTTGCAACGTCAACCTAGATTATTTATTAGGAATGGCTCATTATATTTATCGGAACAGTAATGACATTCGTCCACACAACCTTGCAGCCAACAATGGCCAGTTCACGTGTTCAATTGATATAACAATTTCGAAATAACAAAGGTCAGTATCACAAACGCGCGTAGAACAATTACGATTTTAATTACTTGGCGTTCTGATTTTTTATCTCGAACGTATTAAAATGCGATGAGACTAATCTGCAGTTATCGAGGATTGTGCAAGCGGCAAGGACGCCGATCGGCGTACAGTGTTGCAGCAATAAGTCGCCAATCGAACTTAATACTTGCTTATTTAATATTTTATCGAGCCGCGATTACAGTTTAAAATTTAACGATATTATTTTTATGGTTTATATTTAAGATTTAAAAAATTCAAGATTATGTGAGCTGGAAAGTATTAAGAGTCATTTTGGTCGCGGTGTCGTGTGTCATAGCAGTTTCAATCTCATATTCTTTCACTAGCTGTGTCAGCGACTTCGTCCGCGTATAATAGTTATTTTTATAAATTATATTACCACATCTTTATAAATTAAAGCTGTTACCCTAATTATTGCAAGTAATCTTAAAAGATAGACATATACTGTCGTGGATATTTTTTTAGACCATTTATATAGGAATAATTTGTTCATACATATTTTTTGGATATATTGAACTGTTTTCGTAGCGTACGCAACGGAATCCTACAAGAATGAATAGTTTTCCCCGTTTTCTTTACATTTCCCATTGTTTCTTTGCTCGTAAGTTATATCGTCGTTTATAGCCTTCCTCGATATTTATCACGAACACACAAAAAAATCAATTCTAAAGAGATAGTTACTGAGATTAGCGCGTTCAAACAAACAAACTCTTTAGCTTTATATATTAGTAGAGACTTATTAACACCGAAAGAAATCTTGGTACTGCGTACCTTGGATCAGATTAATCCACCTTTATAATAGCAATGATAGTACACGGGTTGCACACAGACGTAGTGTCGGTACACAAGTGGCGTTGTGTGCGTGGACACGTACACACCCGCAGGAGGTTCAACGTACCAATTGCCAACTTCGAGAGTTCCTTGTTCTACTTTACCACTGACACTGTATCCAAAAAGATCCCAACGCTTATTTGACATAAACGGTTGTTAATACATTTTTAATCAAGATAAAAGCAATACATTTATCAAATACTGTCTGTAGTTTACGCGAGTACACATTTAAATAAAACACTTTACGTTTTAAAAAGCGATGTATATAGTTAAACTTCTTTGATTATTTAAACTACGGCACGACGTTTCGGATGCTTTGCAGCAGCCGTGATCACGGGGAGTTAATTAGTGGTTAAACGCGTTGCCTTTTAGCACGATGGGTTCTGAGTTCAAATTCCGAGTGTTTCAGTTGGGTAGGACTATTAACTTGTCTATAGATATAATTTAATATATCCAAAGTGACAATAGGTCGAGAGCGCATTTTGTCACGATGTTATATGGCTGTGGTATTTAACCTTCTATTAAGCGAACCCCGGGCTTGTCTGTCCTCTTATATATTAAAAAAGTAGTTAAGACGAACACAGAAACGCCACAAAAGGTTATGGGATTTAACTATTTTATGCGTTTGGATTATTATTTCTTTTGTAATTGTAATTAGTACATAAAATTAATTATATAAAAAAGAAATATATTTATCTTCTATAACAAATAAGGATATACTAAAATAAAATATTGTTCAAACGTAATTGTAGTACCATACACACTTAGAGTTCGCAACATATCGTCGCGCCATACAAAAGACTTCAACGCGCGTGTCATTGACAGATTTTATGTTTTAGGCTTGTGATACTGTAATAAAAGTGAATCTATGAGTATATGTTAAGTTCTTATATAATGCTTCTGCGCACACTTTGCTTAAATTATAGCTTTAGGCCAATTGAACCAAAGTAACTACTGCATAATAAAAGAAAAATAACTACAATATTTTGAAAGTACGCTTTTTATGTTACAGGAGGAGACCCCGCCATATAATATTTAAATAGGATACGCTCTTGACCTATTTCAGCTTTGGATATTCGGATTTTTATAGACCAAAGACGAAACGCAATTAACACGGCGTTTTCATCTGTGGACCGTGGTTCGGAAGCCAGATAGATATAAAATGAACCCATCGGGGACCGAACCCACGACCCGTTGATTAGCCACACGTTGGTTTTATAAATGCTTTATATCACAACATTTCTATCTTTGTATTTATACAATTTTCATAAATTACTTTAACAAATCTATGAAGTGTTTAATAATAAATAACACATAATATGTTTTATAACATACATTTTCGTTGTAGAGGTTACTCGTAACTACTATAAGTAATATAATTCGTGTATTTTGAACATTCTATACATAACCAATTTAGATCCATTTTTACTCTCAAACTGCTTATAACGAATTATGGTCATAACCATTTCATTATATATTTTTAAAAAACCTCTTCGCTCGTAAACTTTCTCCCACTTATTCTATTATATGAGCTCGTCATGTATTATAATAATAACTTAGAATTGAAGATTTTTAGCGTTAGTTCGGTGGTAGCAATAATGATGAAAAACGAATTGTAGGTTCAATTCCAATATATTTCTAAATCTTTTAAATAAAACCTTTAACGGTTTAAAACGTGATATATTTTGGTTAAACTTGTTTGAAAAATATTTTTAACTACGGCCCGGCGTTTCGGACGCTTTGCAGCAGCCGTGGTAACAACGCGGCAACAAACAAGTTTAACTAAAATATTCCGCGTTTTAAACCGTTAAAGTGTTTAAATGTGTACTACTTGCGTAAACTACAGACAGTATATTTCTAAATCGTTTTATTTTATTATGCACGATTTCATTCGGCAAGTATGGACAATTAACTGATGCTACGTATAATGAAATAATCAAAACCAATGCGGGTCACAAAACACTGTTCACAAATGGACAAGATCAGTTTCAGTCTGGGGATTTCTAAAATTGAAACAGGTGGATAGCAAATCAATTTTACAAACTTTGTTAAAATCTATACGTTTTATTGGTACAAAAAACATTATTAACAAAAAGCGAAAAGGTCAGTGTGCCGGTTTATTGAATTATATAAAAAAGATGTCTGCACATATTATTAATTTGGCGAAAACAAACAAAATAAAATGAAATACACGCTATTTTTGCATATGTGTAAAATTCACCAATTTAATTTTATACATCTAACTAAAAAGGTTATTCTATTTAGCATTGTAAGTTACGATGCAAACTCCAGTTTCAACCAGTCGAACTGAATTTAACATCAATAGTTTCGTTAATACGAAACTCATTAAAACAACTTAATAAGTAAATTTCAAGTACGTATTTATATAAAACATTTTTAACGTTTAAATAAAACACTTTAACGGTTTAAAACGCGATATATTAGTTAAACTTATTTGAAAATTATTTTTAACTAACGAAACGTCGGGCCGAAGTTAAAAATAATTTTCAAATAAGTTTAACTAATATATCGCGTTTTAAACCGTTAAAGTGTTTTATTTAAATGTGTACTACTCGCGTAAACTATAGACAGTATTTACATTTTTAACGGTTTAAAACGCGAAATGTATCGCACCATTTATTTTACAAATTATCCTAAATGTCAAGCCGTGGTAAATAAGTATACTAACTAACTACAAACTAACATATCGCGTTTTGATTTATTTAAATGTAAGTAAAATACTTGAAATTTCAACTGTGCAGTTTGATATTTAATGGTGTAAAACTTTAGAACCTGTTTTATTGAGTATTGTTAAAATATAGTTCCTTACTTTTATTGGTATCTCAGATTTATAAGGCGTTATATAAATCAGACCCATATATCGCGCGATATAAATAAGAATTGTGAGCAACGCGGCATGCATTCGTGACCCCCCATTATTTTCCTGACACAAATGTCACCACATTACACACATTTATCACACTGACATTGTACTTCACGCGGAATGTGTCACAAAAGGTTTATTACTTCTGAAATATAGCGGAGGTTATCTGTGGCATACCTGAAGAATATCCACCGATTAAACACATTCAAATAAAATAGTTTAAAACACGATATATATATTTATTAAACTTACTTAGAGTTTATTTCAAAAACAGCCCGACGTTTCGGATGCCTTGCTGCAGCCGTGGCGACGGGGGGACAAGTGGGAGTTAAAATAGTTTGCAGATAAGTTTAACTAATGTATATCGCGTTTTAAACCGTTAAAGTGGTTTTTTAATAATTGCATTAAAGTTGCAGTACCCTTCCGTACGTAAAGGTTCGAAACAGAACCTTATAACTAAATATTACAAACTGTCTCTCAGTAGTTTTTATCACACAAAGGTATTGGTATTGAACCCGCTCTATTTAAATTATTTTGTCAAATTCCGTACGTTAAATTTATTTTGTTTTAAAGTTTCAATATACAAACAGCCTAAGTAGGTATAAAAACCGTCTTAAATTAATGATTATTCAGTCTATCTTAACCTTTTTTACATTTCATCGAACATAGATAGTTTAGCATATCATTGTTTTTCGGGCTGTTCAACCGCCGTGAGCGAGAAGTTCTCGACGTTTCAGCATCACGAGTGGACGGCATCATCAGGAGATGGTAGCTCCTTAACTTATCGAAGCATTAATTCTTCGCTCACAACAATGATATGCGTGAAAGCCTTACACGATTTATAAATAGTGTAAAAAATCTTACCTAAATACTTTTCAGATGTAAACCACGCACTCTGAAACAAAAATCACTTTATTACAACAATGATAAATGATTACAAAACACATTGATGTCAGAAATAACATAATGTACTCGATGTCAATATTTCTACGAACATATAAACACAGTGTGTACACGCTAAACAGTATTTTTAGACGTTCCAAAAACAATGTAGCAAAAAGCGCTGTAAAATTAGAAAGTGGTAATTGATTGATGACCGATTTTGAATACGTTTCGTACAAGTTATGAGAGAATTATATTTATTACATTCCCTGGCCGTTGTGGCGTGTAGTTGTTGTGTTTACTTTTATTTCGCGAGTGTTTACAGAGTACTGTAGCTTTATTTATGACAGAGAAGCGAGTCTATTTGATGGAAGGTAAAATAGCACAGACATATAACATCTAAACAAGATGTACTGTAGACCTGTTTGACTTTGTATTATGGCTAATATAATAGTAATTACTTTTTGGATGAATACATATAATTTTTGATTTCCTTAAGTGTATTATTATTAGGTATAGTTCATTGTTTAATTAAGCTTTTATCTACCTAAATTCAAAAGGCCGTGTATTCATATCATTAGTAACGGCACAATGTAATCCTTAATATATTCTGCCCAGAATGGTCTCAATACACGTATTAAAATAAAATATGCACATTCTAAAAGTAATTAGATGTTGTTGCTAATGTAGTAGTAGACTTTTGAGATCCCGTTCGCATAACGGCGAGCATGCAGCAGATATATTTTTGTGACCGTTTTTATAATTAAGATAAAAACAATCTTTCGGCTACTGTACTCAATAAAATTCGAACGAAATTTTTTTACGTCCTCTCAGGATTCGAACCCAAGACATCGTTAGGTAATTTATTAAAATTGACAGACGAAGTCTTTATTACTTATGTATCTATACTAATATATGAAGCTAAATAGTTTGTTTGTTTGAATTAAAGTTTTATTTTTTGTTGGTTAAAGTATTTATCGAGAAGGGCTATAGGCTATAAACATCGCGCTGTGACTAGTTCGAGCGAACTCATAAAGATAAGAAGAAGTCTGCGAACACAAATTAGATGCCTAAAAAAACTATCCTACGCGGACGAAGTCGCTGACACAGCTAGTATGTAGTAAAGCTGCAGTTGACAAAAAATGCCAAAAAGAATCATGTATTTTGAAAAATTTAAGCCTAATGTAAGTTTCTTACACAATTTGATAGGCTCTGTTAACTTTAGACATTTTAATGAACTTTAATGAAAATAAATTGAGTTAACTTTCTATCGTATTTATGAGGTGCCGATGGAGACGTCAAGTGTCCTATTAAATGTCAGCTGATGATGGAGGACACATTTGAAAGTAATTAATAGTAACGCCGTTATAATTACGTGGACAGCACATCCAGGAAACTTATGACGTATTTAATATATATTAGCTATTGTTTATTTTTTTCACTTGATGTTAGGCGAAACACACCAGTCATATGACATTTAAACATGCGGTCGACCTATTTTGGCAATTAATTAAAACGCCCAAAGCTATGTCCTACTGATGGGTTTAAGCTTCTTGTTTCATAGGCGATATCAAGAGTTTACCCACCACGCTGATCCAGAGCGGGTTCGTGGAGTGTCTAGATTACCGCTTATAGATTAGACATAATCGGTAACGAGGTTTGTATTAAAAAATATAGAGCATACTTGAAGATAGAAAAAGTAACTGCATTATTTTTTACAGAAAAGTATGGCATACACTTGATGATAGGTGAGACATATAACATCTAAGCAAGGCTGCGCTGTCGGCTTATTTTGGATTTAGATATATATAACTTCACGTTTTTTCGATATTTTTTACGACCCATCTATTTAATCCCATTATAAATTGTTTAGAAAATGTTCGGAGCCGGAGGGAATCGAATCCTCGACCCGTTGTTTACCACTGATGAGCCGGACAAATACAACAATTAATTTAAAAAACTCAAGTACAAGCTATACCACGCTATACTCGAGCTGTAGAAAAGCACGTGTTACGATGTTTGCCAATGTAAGAAAAGAAATACTTGGTGCACTACACATCTCATAACAATCGCGATAATTAAAGAAAAAATAACGAGATTTCGTGAAGTTTATGTAATGTCTAGTTACATGTTAAGGTTCGCTTAAATAATCTTAGCTACGATTGTTTATGCAACGAGTCGAGCGATTAACATGCAAATATATACGTTGAGCAAAAGTGTTGAGAAGGCTATACGCGCACTTGATGGAAACTGGTGCAAGCAAAGTGGTGCAAACCGCAGAACCAGTCCTGCGGCAGGAAGCGGCCTCGGCGTCGACCGTGCCCCCCTCCCCCCCTCCGCCCGCTATCTGCGCGCTCTCAACCACTTGTTCCAGACAAAGCGTGTCCTTCGAGTCACTGTAGTGACGCATACAAGTGCATTGCACTAATAATAACTTTTCATGTCCGGTTACAAGTCGGTCAAACTCGAAACGGTAGTTAAATGCTTATGCCCCACAAGGGGCGTATGGGGCATGGGACATGATCGCTTGAACAGGTATGTAGATATACTGTCTGTATCTTACGCGAGTAGTACACATTAAAAGAAACACTCTAAAGGATTTAGAGGCGATATATATTAGTTAAAATAAATTTCAAATAAGTTTAACAAGTTTATATCGCGTTTTAAACCATTAAACTGTTTTATTTAAAAGATACGTAGATATGTAAATATTATACCTGGAAATTTTCGTACTTAAACACAGTAGGCTGCGTCTGTAGCCAAATGGTTGCCTAGCATCGGGTTAAGTGGGAGAGGTCCTAGGTTCGAATCCCAGGACGTCAATAGATTGTTTCGGTGGGGCAGAGAACAGAACTCAGATCAATTACGATTATTAATTTATATATTATATTCGCTCCAAGTCCAGAGGCATTTTTGTGGCAATGATTTTTACAATAGCATAAAATCTTCTTTTAGCTCGCCGTGAACTAAGTATGTAAATTAAAATGGGTTGAAAATGAGACTACTGCCTTGTAATAATTGACTTCTTTATAATTATTAGCCAAAAACTTGTTAAAATTACATGAGCTCTTAAAAACGTAAGTAATTAATAGTTAATATAGAATGATCTAGAATTAGCATTATGTTCGATAATTTAATAATCCCAATAAAGTAATCCCAATGTCCTCAACTGTCGTAAAGATATGTATTGTAAATAAGTTGTCCTGAAGTACTTATTTACAATACAATGTTTATAAGTGATCGAGTTTTATCATCAATCATCGCTCCACGAGGAACCGATCATCTGACAGTTACAAGTCTGCTAATTTATTATTATGATTTATTTGTTGGGAGGAATTATCATATAGCCGTACCAAAAGGTAACAACATAATACTTGCAAGGCTCAACAAACAATTCGATACTTAGCAAGATTGACGAGTTTTAAAAGTTAATAATTGTTAGTAGTTTACGCGAGTAGTACACATTTAAATTAAATATTTATAACAGTTTAAAACGCGAAATATATTAATTACCTTTTACAATTTATTTTAACTACGTCTGTTCACTCCGTAATCACACAAAGCAGCCGAAATGTCAGGCCGTAGTTAAAATAAATTGTAAATAAACTAAGTAATATATTTCACGTTTTAAGCAGTTAAAAGTGTTTTCAATAAATATAGTTCTTTTTAACAAGTTGAACTTCGTCTGTGAAATCTGAATATTAAATGTTCTGTAAAAAAAGCGAAATTCCGTTCGGGTCTCTAACCAGCCTGTTTGTATCAGCGTATTCTATATTATAAGATTCATCGTCGCAATTATATCTGACAACATAGTAGTGGTATATGACCAAGTTTAACCAATAATACTATATAATAAAGCACTTTCAAACGCGAGATATATGATCACGTTTAGCTATTCTAAAGGTATAAAAAAACGTCAGGTCATACTTTAAATTAAACGATACAAAATATTGCTGCTCAGCCAGTCACCTCTAAAGTCGGAAGTTTGAATCTAGAGGAAACAAATGTTTCACTTAACCAAGGAGTCGCACCAATAATTGTGTAAAACCGATCGATAATACAGCATCAACTCGTGCGCAATTAAAGAATGGGCTACTTTACAATACGGAGATATAAATCATCGCACCTTTATATAACGAGTTGCATTAAAGAGCTTTTGTTGCGAGAAAATCGTGACTGAAATGTATCTAGATGGAATCGTAAAACAGTTAATTCGGAGTAAGCCAGCCCTGGTGAAGTGGTGACGTCACAGCCCACGCGTCACAGACGGCCAAAGAAAAGATCTCATAGAAAGTAGATCAACTCATTTATTTATTCAGTGCAGTGCCGGCGCGGGCGAGACGCTGCGAAACTGGCTCATTAAAATAAAAATACGATTTTCGAGTGCAACTCGCGCGCAGCGGACTAAATGTTTTCGACGAAATTTTACCGAAAAAGGTGGAAACGCGGCGATACGACCGCAGCCTTTACGAACGCTTTCGATTATCGACGCATAATATCCACCGCTCGCTCCGTTATTACAGATCCTTACTTTTCGCTTATCATGGCGCAGATTGGAAAATTTTAACCACCGCTAATGTCGGGGTAGCCGGTTCGTTTCCGCGTTAATATGCACTAAGTACTCGGTGCTGAGTTTTCACTGGACAAAGTAAACCATTGTCTGAACATAACGCAGCGCTAACGTTGCATTATCGGCACGATAAAAGGCAGCTCTATCATCAGCGAGTCACGAGAGGCGCACGCGCATATTATGCTGTTTAAATAATACCATGCACGACATTCCTTTGCGCGACTAAATCTTAACAACAGGTATATTACCTGCATCTGTAGTTTACGCACACATTTGAATAAAACCACTTTTCTTACGGTTTAAAACTCGAAATATATTAGGTAAATAATTAACAATTTGCTTTAACTACATAGCTAATGTAGTATATTTCGTTTTAAACCGTTAAAAGAGTATTATTTAAATACGTATTTAAACTTGATTTCACTTCTATTTTATGATATATTTATACAAATAAGATCTTTTGAAACGCGACCGAGTATTATGTTAGGAAGGAGAGTTCCGGGGTTTGAGTACCGGGTAAAACAGAAAAAATGCTCACATAAGAAACGTAATTTTTTTAATTTATATATTTTTTTAAGTTGTTCTAATGTACAGTAGGTTCATTAAATTTAATCCCTATTGTTGCCTTTCACCTCGGTCAGGTAATTTTTTAATGGTTTACCAACGCGATCATAATTTAGCCTTATGGTCCATAAAAATGATTTGGAGCAACAGAGTATTAACGGCGATCGTATTATTTGAGTGTAAACTTTTGAAAGTTTATTGCTAGTAATAAAAAAAAATCAATTAAAATATCCACGTAATTAAAATTAAAAAATAGCAACTGCCAAAAATATATTTTCTATAACAGAGGTCAAGCACGGTGTTCACGAAGATGAAATACTTCAGACATATAAGATCTGACTCATGGGCGCTGACGATAAAATTTCGGTTTTAGAAATACGGAAATCTAGAGAGTGAAGCAAAATTTTTATCTGTGGTTTCTGACGATCTAATTTCGACTTTGAACATTAGGAAAACTACAGACTAAAGCCGAATTTTAACTTTACGGATTTTTATATCTGGTTTGTCGTAGATCGTTATCTAATACCAGCTGTGAACATTTGGTCATCCACAGACTGCTTATTGATATCAATCTATATATATATAGAATGTTTATATTTTTTTAAACAAACATCAAAAAACCCGGAAATTCCTGTGTCCAAGGAAGATTATTGAATATCAAAGAATCATACTGGTTAATTGAACACTGTGTTTAGTTTACGCGAGTAGCGCACATTCAAATAAAACACTTTAACTGGTTTAAAACGCGAAATATATTAGTTACACTTATTTAAATTACGGTCCGACGTTGGATACTTTTCAGCAGCCGTGTTGTTCCGTTTTACTAATATATTTAGCGTTTTAAACCGTTAAAGTGTTTTCTTTAAATGTCAAAGAAGCAATGAAATTCCGACGTGTCAGAAATGACTTGCGATGCAACTCAATTTAACAACACCTCAATAGGTCAGTATTGACTGCGCAGACGCATTTAAAATGACCTCAACGCTTATGGCCGCAGTGACTCGTATCTCGACTCGGTCCAGTTCCGTTATTGATATTTAATTGATATTCTTCGTAAGTAAAAACTGTGTTCAACTTCCTATTAGCTTGCGTGAGCTTATCAGTATTTTAATTGTAGAGCAAAGTTCCAGGACATTTTTTTTAAATGTACAGATGACAAATAGTTTAAAATGACAGATGAACTGGTCGTATACTAACGTAGATGGTGTAGTCTTAACAAAACTTGACTCCTGACAGGCTCGTTGGAGTTGGGTTCGATTACTTCCGGGTCCATATTATTATAGTTTTGATATTTATAATATTTGTAAAACAATTTTCTTGTTACATGTACGTCGAATGGATTTATTGCAATATCACAATTTCGTCCGGGTCGCGAACCCGTGCATAGATGAAAAAGTAAATCCGCGTTACATGTTAATCTGAATGTTCAAAACTAAAACAGGTCTACAACGCATTTTGTTTAATGATTGTGGTCCTATATAATTTAAAAATCGAAAATAAATTGAAAAAAAATTTCGACTCGGGCAGGACTTGAACCGGCATCGTCAGCTTTCCGTGCTGTTGCTCTACCAATTGAGCTACCGGTTCTAGTCCTGCCCGAGTCGAAAATTTTTTCAATTTATTTTCGATTTTTAAATTATATAGTGCCTTCATGTGCAATAACATGTGAAAAATATAAATGTTTTCGATTGTGGTCCTCCTGTTTGTCCTCCTGTATTATACAAGATGGTAATGATTCTAATTCTACCAATAATATACAATTGATATGACTTAATCTATACTAACATTTAAAGCTGAAGAGTTTGTTTGCTTGTTTGTTTGAACGCGCTTTACTCAGGAACTACTGGTTCGAATAGAAAAATTATTTTTGTGTTGGTTAGGTTGGGTTGGGTTAGGATTTTATATGAAATCCACTTAATCAGTTTTTATTTACAGTACTGTGCCCTATCCGACCGAAACAATTTGTCGATTCCCCAGGATCCGAACCCTAGAACTCTACTGTTTATTGTCTAGGTGATACGTTTAAACGTCAACCTGCAGTAACTATATATATTTTCGCGTCTTCTCCCCGTTTTTTTCATATTTCCGCTCCTATTAGTGGCAGCGCGATGTTTTATAGCTTTCCTTGACAAATGTTCTATTGAAAACACAAAAATAATTTTCAATTCGAAACAATTCCACTGCAACGACAAACAAACTCTTCAGCTAGATCCTTATTTTAATATTGAATATTATACTAGTAAGCTAAAGTACTTGTCTATAGTATGCAAAAGGTTAGCGATAAATTTCTTAGG